AGCATGAATCCAGTAACGAATGGCTTCAGACAGCACCCGATCAGCCTCCCCTTCCTCCCCCTGCCGATTATCCGCTGCGCCCTCGCCCCCGTGCATCAGACAGGGTGAGGAAATTCAGTGACACCCTGTGCGGCCGAAGATCTTCGTCCTCTGCTCATGTCATTGCGGGTCCCCCGTACTCACTACTCATTGTTGATAAACCCGACGCTGCTAATGCCTTTTCTTACGGATTTGGACCAGACGGCGCCTCGGGAATTGTCATATACTCTGGGTTCCTTGACGACATTCTCGCGAAGAGCTACGATGATGCTGCAAACTTCCAAGAGCAGCCCGGAGAATCCTCATGGTGGGCCCAAGTATTCGGCTCGCTTTTCTCTACCTCGGTTTCGAATCTCGCTAGCTCTCATCCACACCCAACTCCTACGAAAGATCAGACCGCTGACTTGGCCATTCTCCTGGCACATGAAGTGGCCCACTTAGTACTCTCCCATCATCTAGAGACCTTGTCGTCAGGCGCTATCATCGTCCCAGCCGTCATTTCGATGTTCGCCGACATGGCTCGCACCCTTCTGTTCCCGATAACTATGCTCTTTGGACCCTTTGTCAACGATGCCGTTGCCCAGCTAGGGAAGGCCGGTTCCGGCGAGTTGTCCAAGCTAGGCGAATATTGCACCAGCGTATCGCAGGAAATAGAAGCTGATATTGTGTCTGCCCGACTCTTGGCCCACGCGGGCTTTGATGCCCGCCAAGCAGTCGCTTTTTGGGAGGGTCGACAACACTCGACCGCGGCTGCGGACTGCTCTTCCGTTGGACGCTCGGACTCGCCTGATGCAGGTTGGACTCTAGCCCATCGCATAATGGGTGCCTCGCACCCTGTGAATGGCGTGCGTGTCGAAAGGCTGAAAGATGAACTTGTGAGATGGGAGCTCGAGAAGAGAGTAGCGCTGAGACAACAGCAAGTTGGAAAACCGGCAAAAAGGCCGATCCTGGGTTTAATTTAGGAGCCGTCATCGACGAGGACGTTTTCGGTTCGTAGGTGTGTTCATGACGTTTTTGTTTTTGTTTTTTTGGCGCTGCTACTGTCATATATACATCGTATTATGTAGATGGCTTCTGTACCTGGTGTGTATATAGTGTTCTCATACACCACTCGTTCATATTGTCAGAAATGTTGCAGCGTATCAGTCGAGCGCTGTGCCGCTAATACGATGATTGCCGTGACTGACACAGTCGCCGACGCTGAGTACTCTCGAGGCTGTTCCCAAGCACCTCTGCAACTCACAAAGACATCTTGACTAGAATTCGACTGACCTCGTTTAATGTCGTATCTGCAGAACTGGTTCTCGCCAAGGACTGCCACACCCCCACCCTCAAGTGGTTCTGATCAGAAAAACAAACGAACCATCCCCGGGTCCTTCGTCGTTGAAGAGGAACTTGATGACGGATCTGAGACGGCAACCGAGGACGACATTCCTCCTGCTTTCCCCTCTCTGAGCAGCGCGCAACGTGCCTCTGCGCCGTCGTCTGCTAATGATGCCAAAATACCCACCGTACTTAGCGATAGCATGCTGATGCCACCGCCCCCCATTCCCGCACCAGCTCATGCGGCGTCCAGCGGCCTGCGATCCAGTACACGAGTTGCATCCTCCTCATTACTAGCACCATTGGCCACAACTCAAAGGCCTCCCAGGCCTTCCAAGAAGGTGGCACTTGCGCCCGGATTTGGTCCATTGGACTGGGCAAAGTTGAAGTCGTCCGGAGAAGACCTGCGCGTGAGTTCCAACCGTGCTCGGATTGCCTCGAACATCAACTGATCGTAACTAAGATAGGGTGTCGATACCCTACTGCGCGTTCCACCATCTGTGCTTAAATCGCATAATAAGAAGCAAGACGCGTGGACTGCTATCAACGGCAAGGTGTATAACATTACGCCCTATTTGCCATATCACCCTGGCGGTGAAAAGGAGCTTATGCGAGTGGCCGGCCGAGACGGAACGAAGCTGTTCTGTGAGAGTTCTCTTATCTCTGCCCGTTTACGGTCTGAAACTTTCTTGCACTGTATAGCGTTGACGCATGCTTGGGTGAACGTGGATTTCATGCTCGATTCATGTCTCGTCGGGTTCCTCGTGCCCGAGCCTTCCTCATGAGATGACCAACGCTCGGCTCCGTCGAGTGCTAGTCATAAAGTGGGACCGTTCTTAGAGAAGCTCTATAAGCTCATTACCATCTACGCATCAGATTTGTTCGGACCTAAGCTATCGTTTGGCAATCTAGATCACCCAAGGCACATCTGCTCGCGCAGAAGATCGCTCGACTAATTTGAGGTGTGATCTCTCTCACACTCTGGTCACATGAAATGTGGGGCAAGTCTCCAGAAAAGCGATGTTCTTGATGGGAACTTCTTGACGGCCCGGTATCCAACGAACTTACGAGTAAGATATGGCTCCAACAAGGCGATAAGTCAGCTGCCGACAGCACTGACAAGAACTGTCATGGGCAGTAATTGCGACATTCTAGCGGGTGCGTACGCCATCGAGCGACTAACATGATGAAATGACCAAAAGTACTGCCGTGACAGTATCTTTGAACGGTTGCAGTACAACGTGAATTGCCGCCGAGGCACTTTGAAGTTGTAACAAATCGTATCGTCGAGCGATGATTAATGTTATTCGTGCTTAGCGCTCATTCTGTTGCGGAAAGGGCACACCCTCGAATGGACGCTAGGAACCTGTTGCCGTTTGCGCAATCCCCGCCCGGCATATCGTAAGGCCTCAGATATGACCATGAGACCAAGCGGCGTTACTTTGACTCGCTGTACTTCGTGTATAAAAGGGGCTGAAGATGACCAGACGCTTTCACAGCACATCCAGAGTCCTGTACAATGGCCCCTACCGCTACTGCCCAGACCACAACCAACTTAGTGCCTGCCGACCGCATTGCGGAACTGAAGACGCAGGTGAACACTGAGGTGGTCAACCCGTTCTACTCTCCTAGCGCCGACTCCACTGGTGACGATGATTACAAGTACGCCAATTATAAGGTAACGTCAATACGGGTTGGTGAATCATGTTCATGTAGGTTGACGATGATCACAGCCTCACTTCCCTGTCTTAAGTTGGGAGCCCTTGGCCGAGCAGGAAGTCACCGACCGTGGCCTGTCTGCCGACCCGGAGAAGAAAGCTTTGTTTAGTGCCGCTCAGAAAGTGAAGCACCTTACCCCAGTCATCGGAACAGAGATCACCGGCATCGATCTCCGCCAGCTCACTCCGGCTCAGAAAGACGAGCTGTGCGTACCACCTCTGTTTGCCCTTGCTATTTCCGATATTGACTTGGTCCGGACAGCGCTCTCCTAGTGGCTGAAAGGGGTGTCGTTTGTGAGTACTTCGCTAGGCAAATTGGTTCCACATGCTTATGCATCCTCCAACAGTCCTCAGGGACCAGGAGTTGAATGTCCATGAACAGCTTGAGATCGGCAGATATTTTGGACCCCTTCACAAGCATGCGACCACTGGTGTTCCCAGGGAACCGGGGCTCGAAGAAGTTCACGGTACGTCCTTGACGCTGCAGCCTCGACAACAAAACCTAAGCATTCGTAGTTGTATATAACGACGCCGCCAATCGCCCCAACCGAGCTGCGTTTGCAAAGTTCGACCTCTGGCACAGCGACGTAAGTTACGAAATACAACCTCCGAGCACAACGTCTCTCAAGGTCATAACTGGTCCCGAGTATGGGGGAGACACCTTATGGACTTCGGGGTGAGTCAACGCGTAATTAGTTGGCTGAGTGTGGAAGGCCTGACATGATCTCCCAGTTACGCCCTTTACTCGTCGCTGAGCCCTGGGTTCCAGAAGTATCTAGAGGGCCTCACCGCTCTACACAGCGCGGTTGCACAGGCCGAAGGAGCCCGAGCCAGGGGATTGCCCGTGCGCAGGGAACCCGTAGAGAATGTTCACCCTGTCGTTCGTGTCCACCCAGTGACCGGATGGAAGAGTGTCTACGTTAACCAGGGTTTCACACGTCGCATCATTGGAGTTCCAAAGGCCGAGTCGGACGCGATCCTACAATTCCTGTACCGCCAACTCAGTGAAAACCTGGACTTCCAAGTTCGTTTCCATTGGGAGGCCAATTCCGTCGCAATCTGGGACAACAGGGTACGTTGGTCGACGCGCCTAAGCCTGTTATCAGCTATACGAATATATGAACCTTTTTGTGCCAGGTCGTTACTCATTCGGCTACCTTCGATTTCTGGCCACAAACTCGCCACGCGTTGCGGGCAACTCCGCACGGCGAGAAACCTGAATCTGTAGCGGACTATGAGCGGAGGACCGGAAAGGCTGCCAAGGACTATCAGACGGAAATTTGGAAGAAACAAGGCATAGAACCCCCCCAGCCTGACACTGCGGATGTGAAAGTACGTGGGTACAATGATTAAAGGGAGAAGCGATAAGTAGTTGTCTATACCTTGGATTGGGACAGCGGTCGCGTTGTATGATACCGAACTAAGTGTTTTGATCGTCAATCGATGGATTCCTCCGTTGGAGTACCTCATGAAATGTTTTCAACTTTAGCAAAGTGTTCGTTGTTGTGTTATATAGTTTCCTCGGCGTATATTTTTCAGAGGGCCCCTGGCGTAGTGGCTATCGCGTGTGATTCCAGTTTGGTATCCACAAGGTCATCCGTTCGACTCGGGTGGGGCTCACATTTTTTTAATACATACTGTAATTCCTCTCTCTCGCTGACAAAACGCTGACAAAGACATCAATACGCATTATAGAATCGACTATGCGCTTCCACTTGCAATGCTCCAAGCGACGGTGAGGGCGTATTCACTCTTTACATGCGTGTGTTTGTCTGATCGAAGATCTTATGATTTGTGCAACCAAGCGGAGGCTTATCTTACCGAGTAATTTTTCCAATCAAATTTGCGGTTAGTGTTCAACTCGTCTTCCTTTTGCATTTTCCCTCCCCTTCGGTGTCATGTTGGTGATGGGACCGCGATGAGCCCGTAGCGTAGAGGCTATCGCGTGTGATTCCAGAGCCGGTATCCACAAGGTCATCCGTTCGACTCGGGTCGGGCTCATATCTTTTTTTTTTTTTTTTTTTCGTAGCGTACAAAGTGCAAATGTGCTAAATTCATGTAAAGGGTATCAGTTATTGAAATCGTGCAACGTCAATGCAATGTCCAAGATTCCATGTCACATCCAGGTACAGTATACACACACGACTCCACGTCAAGATCTGCCCAGCACAAGATGTTTCAAACCTTTACCCAGCCTCTTCACCGTACCCTTCACTTTGCCTCTTATTCGCGATCTGTTCATTTCTTGGAAGTGGAAGTCTCCTGGCTGATCCGGTGCATCCTCCTGTCGCCACCGTGCCAATTCCATGCGCATTTCCGTCTCTCCGCTCAATGAGAATCCCGAGTATGGTCTTTCCGGGTGCATCTGACCAGGCAGCACCATCGACATTGGTCGAGAATTGCGTCCATAGCGCAAGGATCCGTACGGGCGTTCGCCACAATCGAGCGACTTGGTCCCCCGCGGTATGTATTCATAATAGGATGGAATAGGAGAAGGAGTGCGAGGCACAACGGGACTGCTTGGACGTGACATGTTCTTGCGTATGACAGAGTAATACGGTCGATTCGGGTGGCCGAGTCGCACGGGGGGATCACTTTCTGGGGGTGGCGTGATCGCGCCCGACCGCAGTATTTCTGTGGCGGACGACAGTGACATATCGGCGCATTCGCACAAAGGAGAAGGGGATGAAGGTCGCGAGTGCGGGCGCAGTGAGTCGGATGATTCACGTCGTCGTAGCATCATGGGCCTCTTCCTACGCAACACACGGGTGGGTGAACAACGCGAGGACTGCACGGAGAGCGTAGAATCCATGGGAGAGCCACTGGGAACAGCCATACAGTCCGTGGCATGGGTGGAGTTGGAAGCATCCGACAAGACGGACGTCATCGAACACATGTCCTGGAAAGTGAAAGGGCTACCCCTGCTTCTGCATGAAAGCTTTGGGTCCGAACGGTTTGGGCTATGTGTGCGTGCAGTTGAGAGGCGAAGGGCGCAGGGTTTCCGACGGTGGCGTGTCGAGGTTCTTAAGAGTCCATTCTCGCGCTTGTCCTCGACGTCAGAACCCTCATTCGAAAGATGCTACGCAAGCCAAAAAAAAAAATCGGGTCAGTTGTGTGTTTCCTGCTTTGTGGTTGAAATTAGCAAAGGAAATGAAATACCGTTGCCGTGGCGATGTCAGGTTCGTTGTCGACCGCTTCCGTTTTTGTCTGCGCCGCCCGGGCTGGAGCGAAAATAGCATCAACGTCACTACTCGCATCTTCATCTTCGACCTCAAAACGCGGTCGACAGGGGGACGTGTTCTGGCGGCGGGGTTCCCAGCTTTGCAGTACGGCGGCCGTACTGTCGCGGATGTTTTTTCCATTTCGCGTGAAAAATGGAACGTCGACTGGAGGAGTCGGGAGTTCCATGCTACAGCTCGCTGAATCAACCGACGCGCTTCTGGCTGGCCTGGGCCTATCTGTCCCTGATGACAGGATCTTCGCGGGTGTGCTCAGTCGGCGCGACCTAGGCGTGTTATTCTCGAACTCTTTTGTCGCCTCTGCCGACGTCCACTTGCACCAAAGACACAATGGTATCCACGTATTTGAGAAGCCACACCCACGGCAGACGAACAAAGGTCGATTCGGGTAAAGACAAAGAGTTGGCAGAGAATCAGAAGGCGGTAAGTACTTGTGTGAAAACCGTGTTATTGGGATATTCCGACAAGCTCGTTACCACTAAAGAAGGCTTACTGGTTTGTTTCTCTTCCATTCTCGTCGTAGATATCGTCGCGGAGTGGTCCACGTATCATAATGATCTGTCCTGTCGTTCATCAAGTTGGCTAGTGAGAGGTCCCCAAGGGATGGGAGGGCAAGTCGTACACGAGGACTAGATGTGAGTTTAACTCATTCGAATCACAACCATGACCGATGCCGGGTCGCGTCAGAGAAGCGGTCACACGATTCCGAGACGAAATTCTAGACGATGGATATCTGCAACAGTAGCGGCATGCCTTCTACGCGTGTCGACAGATAAAAGCCGTCCGTCACAGCCGTCCGGACAAAAAGAACGCAACGTTTCGGAATCTTGGGTCTGTTGGTGTCATCCATAGGTCCTCGAGGCGCCTCGTGATCGTCACGTGTGTCCACATATCATCAGCTCTCGTCGATGTACTTGCCATTTGCATCTCACCACTCACAGGGTAGACGGTCCGTGAGTCCGTCAGGCATGTCAGAGAACATAGGCTGAACTGTCCGAGGTCCGAAGTAAGTTTGGCGCACGTAGATGCATGGCAGCAGGCCTCAGAAGGTGAGACAGTACCTCACCAGGCCGTGGATGGGGCAACAAGAATGGCCCCAGAAGAGATCTGTTCCTTAACCGCAAGAAGTGACTGCAATTAGTGTACACGTAAAAGTGCAAGTAATGACCTGCAAGTGGAGGTCATACAAATACAGCAATAGCCCCCTGCTTCTCGTCCATAATCCATCGCCCGCCGACGAGCACACTAACATGGACATGACCGCATCCGCTCACCGGACATGACCATTCGTGAACAGCCGAGATAGGAGGGACTGTCGCTTTCGCTTTTCCCTTTCCTTTTCCTCGACGACCGGCACGTGCCCTTCCACGGACGCCAGGGTACTGGCCAGTGGAGTCGCTTTGGGACATAGGGTGCTGGCTATTCAACAATGACCCGGGAATACTGTTGTGGGACCGTAGGCGTGAACGTATGGAATTCGTTCTTTCGATAGCTACCTCCCCGCTATTTTCATGGTTTGGTGACGACATAGGTAGGGTGTCTGGGTCCATCTTACGTTTGCCCTTTACGTCTGACGAAGAATCCACAAGTTTCGTGTCAGCCACAGACACCGGCTGCATCAATTTCTTGATGCATTTTCCGTCTAGTACATGCCCGCAGCGCAAACCCCACAACCTCCGCTGATCTCGGCCATCCCCGACATCGGAGGCTCCAAGAAAAAGCTGATCGTGGCAGTGGGCACACGCAAGAGCTGGATCGCTGTGGCGCGAGCCGTTGGCATTGCTTGGCCCGGGTGAATGTGAATCATCCACGATGATAATGGAATCTACTGGGGAGGGGGCTGGAGCTGTCGCGAAGTCGTATGTAAATCCTGGAAAGGGCTTGTTCGGGTGGGTATATTCCGGCTTGTAGTCGGGTTCCGCTGCACGACGGTGAGTTCGACGTGCGAACGCGCGCTCCAATGAATCTCTAACTGGGCCTACTAGTAGGAAGTCCTCCGCGCTGTCGTCGTCGTCGTCCCTAAAGTAATTATCTTCGGCGAAAGTATCAAGTGGGTCCCATCGCATTATAAGGGGGACAGCATCCCAAATGCTACGGTGATGCCACGGCTCTCGAGCATCATTCCCACGAGGATTCAGAACATGCCTGACGCCCGCCAACAATGCCCCGCCAAAGCCCATAGACGGTGTGTGCGAAGAAGGAGGCGCGGCAGCTGGAGCATCCTGGGGTTGGCCATTTTCACGAGGTTGTCGGATGTTGGCCTCAAACGGGAGAGGCCGGTCGTTAGGGATGATAGGTCCAGCAGGAGGTAGTGAATGGTGGCTGTGCCTCATGGATGCAAACCTTCGTGGAATAGGTGGCAGAGGGGGTATACTGCCTGTTTGTGGGGGCGGTGGAGGGGAGAATATGCGTTCTCTCTGGGCTATATGCACTGTTACATAGGGTGGTCAAGAACGAGCACACTTTACTCACCAGACCTGGCTTGCGTGGATCTGCTACTGCCAACGTACTGAATTTCGTCGTCTTCACTATCGTGAACAAAAATGACCTCTTGGTCGGCCGATACTGACTGTCCGTCCTCTGCTAGTCTCCTCCTTTGCCTTGGTGGCGAAGACCTTGTAGGGATAATTTCTATGTCCAGCAGGTCTACATCTGTGATCTGTGGTGACTGAGATTCGCGTTGTTCAGGAATGACCTGCGGGGTACTTGGGATGTCTACGAGCGACATTTGCAACTTGGGTGTGGTGTCTGTTTGATCTCTTCGTCGTCGCCCATAGTAATGCCACGTTACATAATCTGCGGTCGGACCAAACAAGACCAAACAAGAGCCGAGGGGTATAAATTCTGAGCAAATGGCTCGGCTAAAAAAATGTCGTTCTTGCCTTTCCATCGGTGAGTAGCAGCTTCCACAGTCGTCGTCTCAAGGATGACTTTATTCTCTTCCCCGTCCTATACGACCATGCCGAGGAACAGAGCTGTTCGTTCGCAACGAACACGCGTTCTTCGGAGCGCATAGTGTACTTGCCAGTGCCATTTTGTCTGAGATCTTTTTCGTTTTCTTTCGTCTGGATGCAAGAATATTTTTGCTGACCGACATTTTTCTTCCTATCCAGTATCGCCTTTCGGATCATCGTCGAAGGTTGGTAGCGTTTAATGCATTTTTTTTTGTAGTACAACAACACTTCGTGATGAAGTATATTCCGTCTATTCGCAGTTTCCACTAGAGTGCCCTCCACGTGGAGTACTCCCCCAATGCCGAACGTACATATTCCCCCTTGTGCTGTGGAACCCATTAACATGGCCAAGAGTGGGCCGCCTTCGGGTGCGCTGAACGGGAGGCGGGGGTCGGCGCGATGAGGGACGACAAAGTTCCTTCCTTTGGATGTCTGATCCTTGTGTTGTTTCGCTAGGATGGTCGAATCGTGTGCTAATTCCTTTTTGAATGCAGGTTTTTGCAGATGTCAGATGTAGACTCGCACGTTGTAATTAGGTAGACTAGTCCGATGTACGCACTACAGGACAAGTGTAAAGATATTGCAATTGAATTGTGTACAGCGTTTGCATTTGGAGTGTGAGTTGAAAAGAGCTTGGCCTCTTTAGTCCTTCCGTGTCACCTTCGAGGTGCACCAGCTCTGAATGTCAACCTGAATTTAGAATGCCCTCTGTACAGGCTCTGTCCTCGACGCCCTCGGACGTTCCTCAAATTGTCCCCCATGCACTGCTTCCGTTCCTACGTTCGCAGTCTCAGAACACTCTAACACG